TGCCAAACATCAACCCATGAGCTCACATACATTCTAGTTCTGGAAAGAGATGTTAGTAACTTGAGAAATGGGCCTTCTTTGACATCCAGAACACCTGAACCCATTTAATTCTGCTTGGTTCACCTGTATTTCAAGCAATTTAAGATCACTTTAAGGCTATAGGCCAAACTCTGCTCTCAGCCATACTGGTGTAACCCAATAGAAGTTTTGCCTGGGTAAAGACCTAAGAATTGGGCCTTTTGGCAGTGAGGGGTTTTGGGGTTTTTTTAAACAAAGGTCTGGATTGTACCACAAGGACACAGCCCATAGTAAGGGACAGAACCGGGCATTGCTTTGCCACTTCAGGAATATTCCTAAAAAAGGAATTTTGGCTCCTGCTTTTCCTCCTTTCTCCTGGGGGTTGAGGGAGTGAGGTGAGTAATTTTGCTGTTGGCCTAAACTACAGTTGGTTTGTCACAGAGCTGATCAGAAAACCATTTTCCCTCGGTGGACAACTTTGACAAAACTGGGAAAAAATGTGTTCTTCAAAAATTTTCACACAAGTTCAGAATTTCAGCAAAAAATCTAAAACTGAAAAAATTCCATTTGGAAATGCTATCACATTGCCTCATGGGAGTTGTAGTTGAGGTGCCTCATGCCCCCATGTGCCGGCCAGCTTCCCTGGCTGGACTACATCTTCCATGATTCATCACCATTTCTCCTCCTTTTGATCCATCATGGTGTGTCATAGAAGTCCCATGGCTGTGGTGTTTAATGGGAGATCTAGTCTAGCTGGGAACCCAACCTGTAGAGCAGAATGGGAATATGAGGTACCCAAACTGCAATTCCCATGAGGTATCCTGTCAACATTTCCAAATGTTGGATTTCTGCTGTTTAGTTTTTTGATAAAAAGTGAGAATTTTCCTCAGAAAGCAGAAACTTTACACACATTTTTTTTAGTTGAAAACTCAATTTTCTATCAAAAACAGTTTTGACTAAATTTTTTTGACCAGCTCTTAGTTTGCTGGCAGCAAAATGCCTGGTTTTAGCTGGCTTGGCCTAGAATAGTTAATGTAACTGCAGAACTCTAGAATTTGTTATAAGGTCAGGGTAAGGAACATAAAGATGAAAACTTGGCCTGCCTTAAGAGAGGATATCTCAGCACCAGGAGCAGGTGCTTCTATGATATAAACAAGCACCATTTCTGTAGCAGGTGAAGGAAATGGAGTAGGAAAGGAAACAAGATGTAAAGTACATTTCATACAATTCTACCTTTTTGAAACAGATTAGATTTTTAAATAGACACTTGGGGTTACACTGACTGAGGAGTACAAGACAGGAAGGCTAATGGAGCAGGAGCTGTCAGTTTGTGAAGTTAGTGAAGTATGTCTAGAAGATAATAAACATTCAGTAATGAGTTAGTGAGAAATCGTTGAAGGAGTAATATCACTCCCAGATTAATTTTTCTATTAATCATGCAGACAGTTTTGAAAATGTGCTGTTGTTTTTATTAGTAGTAGTTATTTAGCATGCACCAAAAAATAAAGAGAGACAAGGTGGGTGAGGTCATATCTTCTGTTGGTGAGAGAGACAACCTTTCAAGCCACACACAGTTCTTCTTCAGGTCTGGGAAAGGAACTCCCAGTGTCACAGCAAAATGAAAGATGGAACAGATTGTTTAGCATACGTAGTTAGCACATATTGTAGGAGGCCATTCAAGGTAGAGTGGCCCATTAACACCTCTGCAGTCATAGGACAAAAAAAATGGGAGAGAGGGGTTAATGGGTTACAGATGTTTGTAATAAACCATAAATCCACTGTCTCTGTTCTGTCAAAAAGAACGAGGAGTACTTGTGACACCTTAGAGACTAACACATTTATTTGAGCATAAGCTTTCATGGGCTAAAACCCACTTCATCGGATGCATGCAGTAAAAAATACAGTAGGAAGATGTATATACACAGAGAACATGAAAAAATGTTGCCATACCAACTGTAATGAGAGTAATCAATTAAGGTGGGCTATTATCAGCAGGAGAAACAAAAACTTTTGTAGTGATAATCAGGATGGCCCATTTCCAACAGTTGACAAGAAGGTGTGAGTAACAGTAGGGGAAAAAATTAGCATGGGGAAATAGTTCTTACTTGGTGTAATGACTCCCAGTCTTTATTCAAGCCTAATTTAATGGTGTCCAGTTTGCAAATTAATTTCAATTCTGCAGTTTCTTGTTGGAGTCTGTTTTTGAAGTTTTTTTGTTGGAGTATTGAGGTCTGTAATTGAGTGACCAGGGAGGTTGAAGTGTTCTCCGACTGGTTTTTGAATGTTATAATTCTTGATGTCTGATTTGTGTCCATTTATTCTTTTGTGTAGAGACTGTCTGGTTTGGCCATTGTACATGGCAGAGGGGCATTGTTGGCACATGATGGCATATATCACATTGGTAGCTGTGCAGGTGAACGAGTCTTTGATTGTGTGGCTGATGTGATTTTAGGTCCTATGATGGTGTCCCCTGATAGATATGTGGACAGAGTTGGCAATGGGCTTTGTTGCAAGGATAGGTTCCTGGGTTAGTGTTTTTGTTGTGTGGTGTATGGTTGCTGGTGAGTATTTGTTTCAGGTTGCAGATCTCCCAAGATCTGTGAGAGTGAGGGATCGTCCTTCAGGATAGGTTGTAGATCCTTGATGAGGCGCTTGAGAGGTTTTAGTTGGGGGCTGTAGGTGACAGCTAGTGGCGTTCTGTTACTTTCTTTGTTGGGCCTGTCCTGTAGTAGGTGACTTCTGGGTACTCTTCTGGCTCTGTCAATCTGTTTCTTCACTTCAGCAGGTGGGTACTGTAGTTGTAAGAATGTTTGATAGAGATCTGGTAGGTGTTTGTTTCTGTCTGAGGGGTTGGAGCAAATGCGGTTATATCTTAGAGTTTGGCTGTAGACAATGGATCGTGTGGTGTGGTCTGGATGAAAGCTGGAGGCTACAGCCAAGTGCTAAGAAAGTAAATCTTACCTATTCTTGCCCTCTAAGGCAATCAGGAGTTTTGGGCTGTTACATATTGTTCTATAGATTTCCAAGAGTCCTAGCAGCTGCGGTCTGGCATATCAAGAGAAGTTGCTCATTAGATAAGGAAATTTGTTCCACAGGAGCGCTTTGGGGATTGAAAGGAGAATGTTGATGTCTCTATACTAGTTTCATGTCAGGTGGGTGGCATATCATGCAGAGAACACACCCATCAAGAAACACAGATGATCCATGGGGAACAAGATATCAGAACAAGACCTTAAAACAGTAACTTCGTAACTTGGAAATATTTATGTCTCATGAAGATCACCAGCCAGTTAGTTTCTTGCATTTTTCCAGCATTTCTTATTACTTGCTTTACAGCATGTGAATGTATTTTTGCACAAATCTGCATCAGGCTAGTTGATAGGAAGCCAGAGTAAGCAAGAACAGCATTCCATTGCTGTTACTGTGCCTTCAGTCTTTGTTTGTGGACTTAAAGATAGTGACTATCTATATATATATAAAATCATATGTTGCAGCAAACATATTTGTGCACAGCACAAACATTGGGCTGGATGGGGACTTTAATGTGTTTTACTCTTTCAATACACAATGTTGAAGACCTACCAAAACAGACAAATGTGGTTTTCATTGCTTGGTTATGAAAAAGCTTTAGCATTGTAGATGCAAAAAATGTCATAACAAGCAATGAAAACCACATTTGTCTGTTTGGTAGTTCTTCAACATTGTCCACTGTCGGAGTAAAATCCTCGTCAGCGCTGTTCTTGTCCTTAGTTCAGTTTACACCCACAGGTGATTTTAAACTTTAAAGTTTTGTCTTGACTTATGATCTGAAGTCAATTTGGATGGGGGGAAAGCCTTGGTAATCTACTCACATGTAATGGAGGGAAAGGCCAATTAACTCTTCACAGAAGGGTTCTTGCCAGTTTATATTTCAGCTGAAGTATCACATGACCTAGGTGTGTATATAAAATGCAGTTCCATCAAATTCTATGAGCTTTAATGCTTTATATCACAAATTTTCCCTAGCAGTGGGTGGAATGATTAAGACCATGTCTTTCTCCCATGGGCAAATTCATCACCTTGCTAAATATTAACTATTGCATATGACATCTGAGCAAACTAATTGACTCTTGCATCTCATGTTTTTAATCTTGTTTTCTAATTGAGTAGCACAACTAGGGCTATGTCTGCACTATGGATCTTAACAGCGGCACATCTGTACCACTGCAGCTGCACTGCTGTAAGGTCTCCCGTGTAGTCTCTTTTATGCCGGCGGGGGAGAGCTCTCCCACCAGCATAATTAAATCACCCCCAACGAACAGCGGTGGCTATGTTGGCAGGAGAATGTCTCCCACCGACATAGCGCTGTTCACACCAGCGCTTTTGTTGGTTTTTTTTCCACACCCCTGACCAACAAAAATGTTTCTGACAAAAGTGCTAGTGTAGATAAAGCCTAGGTTCACAGGCGCTGACTTTCTATTGTGCCAGGGGGTGTTTGACCCTTGGCTCTACCCCAGGCCCCACCCCCACTCCACCCCTTCCGTCAAGGCCACACCCCCACCCTGCCCCTGCCCCACCTCTTCCCACCCTGTTCCGCCCCACCCCCGAGCACACCACATCCTCGCTCCTCCCCCTCCCTCCAGCCTCCTGCATGCTGCGAGACAGCTGATTGCGGCAGGTGGGAGGTGCAAGGAGTGGGGGAAGATCTGATTGGTGAGGCCCACCGGTGGGCAGGAGGCACTGGGGGGAGGGGGATTTGCTGCTGGGGGGGCTGCTCAGCACCCACAATTTTTTCCACGTGGGTGCGCCTATGCCTAGGTTTATATGTTAGGTATTTTTTAAGTTCATGGGTTTTTTAAAAGCTCACATATCAGCAAACCTGAGAGATTGGGTTGGGAGGTTTTAAAATGGTGAAAAAATAAGAAGCCGCTGTCATGGTTGGATTGAGAGTAATAAAGAGTGGGTGAAGCAGAGCATTCTGAGTTGGGTTTTTTTTCTTTCAGCTGTCAAACTTACCATGTAGAGACTGCCACTGACAGCCAGGTTTTAATTGGAAGGATTGTCAGCTTGATTGAATCTGCTATTGGAACGCGTGCCTGTGGGGGGTTCACTGGAGGATGGTAATCTTTATCAAGAGTTTGATGAGCTGTCTCCAGTGAGACATCGGAACCACACAGGCAAGGAAAGTGGTGTATGTGTGTGTGGTATTACTAAAGATCAACTGGGAAGGGAAATTGACTGACTTCTTTCTTCTTTTTCATCTTAAGCAGGAAAAAAAAAATAACATTCTTTGGGCTACATCTTGCTCTGCACTTGGTTTGAGGAAATATAGGAGATTGGTGAGTGGAAGCGATTGTAGGAAGCACTGACTTTCCAAGCACAAGCAGCCAGTCAGGCTCTCTACCTACCTTTCAAAGGAGTGCAGGGTGAGCCCTGTCTAGTGTGCTGCCCCCAAGCCAATCAAAGCATGACTAGCTGGCTAGCACTTTGGCAGCGGTCAACATCACATGCCAGCTGTGGGCACCCATTGCTCCTTTGCAAAGGAAATGTACAATGCACCTAGCAGTGTGAATGCAGCTGAGCCATCCTACCCTTCATCAGCCCGATGCCGTGGTTACAAGAAGCATGACTGGTACTGATTGGCTTTCTACTCCCAGTGAGGTGTCTGGTTAGAGCTGATGTAAAGATGGGCCAGAGCAAACTTTTGCAGTGCCTAACAAGAAGTTTTAATGGTCCTGCAAAACCCCAGAACAATGGTACTTATTCTTGAGCGTCATCTATTGGCATTTTATTAGCTGTTTACATCTATACAGACATGTTGTTTATAGAGCCTCATTCCCTCCCACCCATCATAACTGTTCCTCCACAGGACAATAAATCACCCTTAAAAATCACAGATCAGAGTAATGGTTGTCATAATGATCAGTATAGATTATTGTTTTTTATTTATATTACAGTATCAGTTAGGATCCCCAGTCACAAATCAGAACCTCATTTTGCTAGATGCTGTACAAACACAGAACATAAAGATGGTCCCTGGCCACTAGAGCTTGGTACTGAAGGAATACATAGATTATGGATCAGTAATAGAAATAGCTGAAATATGGCAGATTTTTCACAAAAAAATCCCATTTTTCCATCAAAATTCAATACATATTTTTGACATTTTTGAAATTCAAACTAGCTTGGCCAACTCAATAGCTAGTTGAAAACCAGGTTGAATCTTTCACAGAAAGTTCATACTTGATTTTTTTTTCTGAAATTAAAAATGTTGACAAAAAATTTCATAGCAAAAAATAAAATTCTGAAAATTTCAACCAACTCAATTAACAATAAAAATGGTTAATAATCTATATGGCCTGGCAACCTGTCTGACTAGAATGCAGTTACATTCACTATGGACTCCTTGGCCCTTATCCAACCTCCGCGCCCCTTATCCAACTTCCCCCCACCGCCCTCTTACATGCCGCTCAGAGCAGCAGGAACTCGCAGCCCCGCCGCCCGGACGGAGCCAGCCATGTTACCTGCGTGGCAGCGTAGCTGCAGGGGAGGGGGAACAGCAGGGGAGGGGCCGGGGGCTAGCTTCCCGGCCAGGAGCTCAAGGGCCGGGCAGGATGGTCCCGTGGGCCGTAGTTTGCTCACCTCTGATATAGATAGAGCCTTTGACTTCAGACGTGCTACATGAATTTACACCACCTAAGCTTGCTGCACTATTGGAAGGCACTCAGATACTACAGTGATGAGTGCAGTATAAGAACCTATATAAACTACAATGGGGTCTGGCCATGTGTTTGTTTATTAGGCACCCATCACTTTAGTTTCTAAATGTCTAGTGGTAGGATTTGTGCAGGATTTCACCCTATATAATTGTTAATTATAATTGTAATACTGGTTGTATATGATGATTGCTTTGCCTTGTAGTAAGAAGATTTCCAGACATTAAGGCACTGGCAAGTCAAAGCTACTCTGGTTTTCATTTTTAGATAACCTTTTCTCTCTCCTCCTGCTCCAATCCATATAACTGTTATGACTTAGTTGCAGACAGCAGCAGTAAATTATATGATTGATTACTTCTTTTTCTAGGCAACCTATAAATAAGATTTTTAAAAGTATGTTTTTTTTTCTTTTTTGCTTTTTCATGATGTATAAAGATTCCCCTTTGTCTTCTTTTTATGACAGAAATATCAGGATTATCACATTTGTTCTCTCTGGTGTTTGCTGGAGGAATCTTTAGAGAACTAAAGAATTTTTAGGGTTGCCAATTTTGGTTGGTTGGACTTATTCCTGGAAGTTTCATCTCATGACATAATCTTTAATTAAAGATTCATCTTTAATTCTTGGAGGCTCCAGGACAGTCCTGGAGGGTTGGCAATCCCTAGGTAGCTGTTTTTACCACTCCTGATTTATGGGGTGGAGGTACTGAATGCTTCAGGATTGGAACTTTTCTCCCAAATCTTTGTCAGGAGTTTGAGTTAAATAGAGATTAGCATAAAAATAATTTAAAACAGTCTGATTAAAGATGGAGAGCTAATTTGAGCTATCTACACTCAAATTAACTCCCGTGAGCTGGCTGCGCTTAAGTGAGAGTGGCTATGCTGGGAAATAACATGTGTGTAACTCATGTAAGTTGTTAGAACTTCTGGGGGCACTTCCATCTTAGCACTGTAGTATAGGGTGACCAGACGTCCCGATTTTATCGGGACTGTCCCGATATTTCCTTGTTTGTCCCGCGTCCCGACTGACGTGCGGTCGGGACACTGGACAAACAAGGAAATGCGCTGGAGCCTGGAGCCCAGAAGTGCTCGCGCCCCCCCCCCGCCCCGACTCCGCCCCCTCCTCCCCCGATTGGCTCCCTCCCCGAATCCCCGTCTCTTCCCCGGGCTCACCATTCCCCCTCCCTCCACAAGCGCTGGAGGGAGGCCCGGGAGACTAGGGGGAAGCGAGACTCAGGGGAAGCGCGGGGCTGGGGTGAGTAAGAGTCCGGCCTGGTCCCCAGCAGGCAGGACTCAGTCGGGTGGTAGGGAGAGGAGGGGGGCGGCCCGCGGGGCCAGGCGGCGGCTGTTCTCACCCCCGGGCAGCGGGACACGGGAGCAGCCGCTGCTGCAGCTCCCACTGCCGCGGGGGGAGGAAGCGGCCATGGCGCTTGGCGGCTGCGGCTCTGGCGCCCCCGAACCCCCC